CAAATCTGAGACACTCAGCGAAAATCTTTAAGGGCCCACACATACGCAGTTTAGGTATTGAAAATTAAAAAACAAAACAAAACGGGGTTTGCCGAGTGCTAGATCGCGGGCACTCGGCAAACCTCCCTCGTAACCACCCCAATCCCACACCCGGTCGCACACACACGCACACACTCAAACCTTGACACAGCCGCGTGCCCCCGCCTGCCCACACCAACCCCCAACGCCGCCTGCCCACACCCACCGACGCCGCTGGTCTCGCGCGCCGCCGCCCACCCACACCCGCCGACGCCGCTGGTCCCGCACCCGCCCACACCGCCGGCCGGCCCCACCGCCCAACCACACCAGCCTACACCACGCGGTCGCGGAAGCCCGACGCCACCACCGCCCTGGAAGCCCGACGTCGCGCCCCGCGACGGCTGCCGTCCCCTCCGGCCCTGCGCGCACCCAGCGGCCGGCACCCCCCGTTGGCCGGCGCCCGGTGCCCTCTCCCGGCCTCGCGCGTCCACGCCGGCCTCCCGCGTGCCGTCCCCATGACCCGGCTGGCCTCCCACGCCGCCGCCACCGATGCCAGACCCTCCTCCTCAACATGCTCCAAATACTGTTTCAGGCACTGTGAGTCGCTTTACAACCTTATAATCACTGTTTCTAGTTTATGCAGAATCAATCTTACAAAGATGCCCAGACACTAGAAACTTAGTGACTAATGCTATATGTTTGTTACCAACTAGTTGTGCAGCAATCTCTTCTCCTTTGTGCAATCTTGACTCGCACATGCAATCTCTTCTCCTTTGTGCAGCATCAATCGGCGGCATCGAATGAGCCTCATGACCCAGCGTGGTCGCAGTGGAACTCGTGGCCTAAGTAGACTTGTGATTTTATTTGCATTTGCATTTGTGGATTACCTGTGATTATTTGTGGTTGTGAATGAACCTACTAGTGATTCTGAAATTTATTTGCATTAATGTGTTGTCGATATATCTATATGAACTGCATGTGATGCCTATTGTGAACTATCTGTGATGGATGTGATGTTTATTTGAATGTGGTACGTGGCTGTGACCGAACCTAATAAACTGATTATATTTGGCAGCTTTGCCGATTGTTACACTCGGCAAAGAAGCCTTTTGCCGAGTGCCAGGGTTAAAACACTCGGCAAAGTGGACACGTGGCAAAATTCTATGTATTCTAGGACTAAAATGGCTTCTTTGCCGAGTGTCTGCGCTATAACACTTGGCAAAGAAGCCAAAATTCCGTGCATTCTGGGACGTGTTTGCCGAATGCCTGGTATTGGACACTCGGCAAAGGACGAAGGTTTGCCGAGTGTCTGGAACTTGACACACGGCAAAGGAAGAAGCTTTGCCGAGTGCCTGAACTTTGACACATGGCAACGACAGAAGCTTTGCCGAGTGCCTAGAACATGACACACGGCAAAGGAAGAAGCTTTGCTGAGTGCCTGAGATTTGACACTCGGCAAATGCGCCGTAACCGTCTCCACTCCGTCACGTTACTTTTTTTCGCCGAGCGTCGGTTTCGGCTCTCGGCAAAATCTTTGCCGAGTGCCCAATAAAAAACACTCGGCAAAGAGCCGTTTGCCGGCACTGTAGATGCAGTGTGTGTTTGCCGAGTGTTTTTTGGGCTTTGCCGAGTGCCTGTGGCACATGGCAAAGCGACTGTTTCCGGTAGTGGAGTAATGAATCAGTAATTTTGATTTGATCTGCATGGTTTGCAGCTTGCTTTCTGCTGCAAGTAAAGGTGCTGGGATCGACACTTGTCCCCGCAAGTAGCCAAAGTTTTGGGCTTTATTGTTAATGTGACATCACTTCCCAAAGGAAGATCTTCCTTCAAGATCTCTCTATCTCAACTCATTCTGAACAGTAGCAGTATGCTTTTTTTTCTAGCTAGAAATCAATCACATAAACGATGTATGCTATCCTGAGGATTTGTTTTTTTTTTTATTTGGGTTTAATTTAATGTAATTAGGTGACGGCATTTTGTCTTTGTGGTCTAGCTAGAATATATAGTGGACTTGTTGTGTTTTCTTGTATTGATCATAAAAAATGAAATGAACAAGAAAAATAAAAGAAAGGTGGCAGTTGGTGCGCTAGATTAGATTGCATACAAGGAAGACGATCGATGTGGTGTTATTAAAATGCTCAAGAACAAATACAAAAGGAAAAAGGGGAAAAGATTGATCACGGTATGTGTACAGAATTAATTTGGGTCATCAGAGCGCACCCAAACAGCAGCTAGCCAGATATCACAATCATCCTCCCTCGAGTTCATATACATTCACATGGTCGTCTTTGATTACTTTGTTGTCCATCATCAAAGCTTCTAGAGGATTGTCTGCAACAACTGAATTTCACAACAATAATTTTGTAAACAAACTTACAACAGATTAAACAGTAACTACCATAGATTCGGAAACATTCATTCTTTCCAATTTGTGGGACTAACTATGTATCTTTGCTCACTTCACAGAAACATGTACTTTGTGACTTATGTCTCTTTCTGGCTACTTGCTATTTCTTTTATCAGGCATGCAAGTTCCAACCAAACCTAAATAATAAAATTTATCAGAAATAATAATCCGCACATATCTGCGGCCATCTCAACAAGCAACATAGACACTTATAAAAAAAACAAGCAACCCATATACACTAATTTGAGTGTCTGCAATTGAGGTATATGCACCCTACTATGGTTTGGTGGCTCAGCTTTAGCCAACAGTCATGAGTATGGTGGTTATTAGTAGTACACAAGGTAGGTACAGTAAATAGATAATATGTAGGCCCCGTTTGGCAGTAATGTTCTTTTTCAATAAATTATTTTTTAGTGCAAAAGTTAAAATGAGTTGTATTTAAGTTGTTCTTTGTCCACAAAAAAGTTCAGAATTTTTTAAATCATATTTTTAGTTATATGATTTTTCTATAAAAAAACTTTTATTTGAGAATCAGAATCTAGCCTAACAGCCAAATTATTTTATAAAGTGATTCCAATTCATCACCCGAAATGTTTCTAAAGAGAATTTAGATCCGAAACATTTCTACGAGAATCTAGATCTCTACCAAATACACCCGTAATATTAGACACCTACTAGTGCGTTGTATTTTTCCACATAAGAAAACTAGACATATACCTGTGGAGTATCTGAGATGGCATCCAATAAAATTCATGTCTACCTATGTGCGCATCAAAATGTTATGTACTATGTTCTATAATCTGTACAAGCTAAGGGTGTGCTTAGGTCACCTATATATCATCTAGGAGCTGCAACCAGTATATATACCTGTAGGCACTATGTATATTCAAGAATTAAATAAGAAAAATGCATATCTCAGGCATATAGAGGTAGTTGCCAATGGCTAGATGTAAAGCATTTGGAGAAATGGTCTGGAAGAGATGCATCACAAATAAAATGAGAAGGGTGGGAAACACTAGCTAAAGACTAGGAGCTCAGTCCTAACATTTTGAAAACGAGTGTTTTGATCTCCTTATGTCATCCTCCACAATCACACCACTAATCCACTAAATTTTACTCATTAATGGGTCACAACGTAACGCCGCAAAGGCTAACACCTAACGCATGCCAACACATAATTGATGTTTCATCCTCATTTCGTGCAAAAGGGTTAAGCTCTCACACTAGAAGACAAGTGTTGATAATCACTTATGTCCTTGTTCTAGTTTTGCCAGCACCATCTTTGAATCTACCCCTCCATACTCTTTCTACCTTGAATTCCTGGTCCAATCATTTTTACAAATAGAGAGGCATAGATTGTGCTTTTCTTTTCACCGGCAATCGATCGTCCAATAACATAGAGATTTACTAGCATGGAAATTGTGTTGTTAAATCCTTATTCTGAACGACTACCGTACTATTATTACTTTGTAGTACAATTTTAATTTTGCAAGATCAAAGTGTGATTTACAAAAACCAACAAATGTAGTATTGTGCAGCTCTAAATTCTGATTAACCTCATCAATGCAACAGTGAATTAGAAAGAAAATAGCATGGGGACCGCGAACAGCAATGTTTCTTCCAAGCAAGAAACTATTTTCATGTGTTAATTTTCTATATAACTATGCCCATTATTGTTCCTTCTTCCCCCCCAAAGAGTTTCACAATTGGATTCCTCCAAAGCCCGAAAACGGCATTGAGAGCTGCAGGTAAATTTCCAGTTGTAAACGAGGTGCCCAATTCAATGAAACATGAATGAGCAGTGAGCACCACCATATAGACCAGTTATATATTTTCCATTATCAGAAAAGAGAGAGAGAGAGAGAGAGAGAGAGAGAGAGAGAGAGAAAGAGAAAGAGATATGTTATCTACTGAATATCCACCACCCACCCATCATCCACCTCCGAGAGACAAAAACCTACAATAACAACACCACCAGACCAGTAAACCCCTAGGCCTCTTTTCCAATATAACTACCATCTGTAACTGGATATATATATATATATATATACACACACAGCTAGTGGTGAAGTGATTTGATGCTATCAAAATTCCCACATCACCACACAAATTAGTTTGTTAATATAACTGCAATTCGGTACTGATGATCACTAGCATGCAAGTACTACTACTTCCCCTTGTAACTAACTGGGATGCCATATACCCTGGCCAATAAAAAAGTGACACAAGCAAGTGTTGCTCCCCTGGCCCACCCTGTAGGCCGGGCCCCCCTCTTCTCCCTCTCCTCTCTGCCCTTGCCAATGCCCCCTCCTCCTAATGATAAATACCTTGCCATGAGGCAGCCCACTCCAGAACTACACTTGCAGGACAAGCCTAAACCAAGCAGCACTCTCATCAACCAAGTAGCTAGAAGACAGAGAGTGTGTAGCACTCACAGAAGCAAACCAACCAAAATTGTCATGCTCACACACCTAGACCAGGTGCTGTGAGTGATTGTGTGAAGTGATAACACAGGGGAGACGAGTAAGAGAGAGACAGAGAGAAGAAGAAAAGATACACGGATCGATAGATCGCCATGCCGCCTCAGCTGGAGCACCATGAGCAGCAGACAGCCGGAGGTGGTGGCCACCGAGCAGCTGCAGCTCCTCCTCCTCCCAACAGCATGCCCACCTTTAGCAGCAGCGGCACTCCCTCTCCTACTTCTGTTTCTGCCACCACCACCAACCCCTCTGGCGCCGTCGTCCACCCCACCACCTCCAGCCCGCCGTCGTCGGCCGCCTCCGCCCGCCCTGCCGCCAACTCCTTCCCTCTCGTCCTAAAGGTACGTAGTTGAGAATGTCATGTGTTGAGATCGAGTGCATGGTGTCATGGTGATGAGACGTGTGCATGCATGTCATGCGTACGTGTTGGTGTCTTGTGCAGTTTGAGGAGGTGGTGTACAAGGTGAAGCTCGGGAAGCCGACGGCCGGATGGTGCGACAAGCTGTCGGCGGCCACGGCAAGCATGGCGGTCGGCTGCGGCGGGGACGGTACGAGTAAGAACAAGAAGGCCACTGCGTCGGCGGCAGGGTCGTCTTCGTCGCGGGCGCGGGAGAAGACCATCATCAGCGGTATGTCCGGGGTGGTGCGGCCGGGGGAGATGCTAGCGATGATGGGCCCATCCGGGAGCGGCAAGACGACGCTGCTGACGGCGCTAGGCCGTCGTCACGGCGGGCGTGCGGTGCTGTCGGGAAAGATAACCTACAACGGGCAGCCCTTCTCAGGCGCCGTGAAGCGCCGCACCGGGTTCGTGACGCAGCACGACGTGCTGTACCCGCACCTGACGGTGTCGGAGACGCTGTGGTACACGGCGGCGCTGCGGCTGCCCCGGTCGCTGAGCGCCGGCGAGAAGCGCGCGCAGGCGGAGGCCGTGGCGCGCGAGCTCGGGCTGGCCAAGGTGGCCGGGAGCATGGTGGGCGGCGTCCGCGGCGTGCGCGGGCTGTCCGGCGGCGAGCGCAAGCGCGTCAGCATCGGGCTGGAGATGCTGGTGGACCCGAGCCTGCTGCTCCTGGACGAGCCCACCTCCGGGCTCGACTCCACCACGGCGGCGCGGATCGTCGGGACGCTCCGCCGGATGGCGGCCCAGGGCGGGCGCACCGTGGTGGTCACCATCCACCAGCCGTCGTCCAGGCTGTACCACATGTTCGACAAGGTGCTGCTGCTGTCCGCCGACGGCTGCCCCATCTACTACGGCCGCGCCGCCGACGCGCTCGATTACTTCGCCTCCGTGGGCTTCGCGTCGCCGCTCTCCCTCAACCCCGCCGACCTCATGCTCGACCTCGCCAACGGTACGCCCGCCATGTCATGCACCACTGGACTCGCGCATAAAATTCCTCTCTCTCTCTCTCTCTCTCTCTCTCTCTCTCTCTCTACCTTTTTTTCACGATGCCTTCCAATTCATAGGGCACATTGCCATGTGCCATTCCAATCCTTGCGCTGACGTCATCCGTTCTCCTTGATAGCTCTAGGTAGCTAGAAGACGAGGTGAGCGACAAACAAAGTCGGCACTAATAGTAGGCCATCGAAAAACTTTCCATTGGACAACCCCTCCGGTATGGCAAAGGACGCCCATCACTTACCATCACCTCCTTGGTGACTTACCCTAATAAGAGGCTGACACTAAGCAGAGCACGCATGCCATTGCTGCTCTGCTCACACCTACATTTTTTATTCAAAAAAAAGTGAAAAGGGAGGAAACAATCCATATTGGCAACTATAGGAAACAATTATAGTATTTTAAAATAAAATGGACCGTCAAGATCCTCGACGACCCACATAGTGAATTTTTCAGTTGATGGTGTTTAATAATAAAAAAAAAACAGGGGAATCGGGTCCGTTGGGCAGTTAACCACCTCGATGGAGAAAAAGCTATAGGATCGAACAAAATAAAGCGCACCGGAATACCACGGGCTCTGAAAAAACATAATAAAGAAGCAAAAAGAAATGAGCACATCATATACATGAAGGGGAAGGGGCCGGAGTGTGAGCGGCACAAACTGATGTGCCGAGATTGCCTTCTTGATACGATACGGTGCGCGCATGCAGCCATTGGGGGTCCCCTGAGGAGAGCGATGTTTACCTTTGATCTGCGTCATGATTTGATGAGCATACATCACCATCTTCGTCGTCTTCATGGCATATGCGCACTAGTAATAACTAGTAGATAATTACATGAATTTCAAGAATTAATCTCACAAAAAAAAATCGAAATCCATCCTCTGTTGTTCATACTGTATGTATATGAGAAGGCATATAAATGTTTCGATTCTCTTATATATAGAAGGAAAAGCGTGATGAGGCTATCTCCAACAACAACACCCAAAATACAAGACCTATTTGTCATTTGGGTAGCGCTACAAGTAAAAAGTTCAATACCTATTCGGCATCTTCTCCAACAACAAGACCCAAAAGAGAATCATTTCTGCAAATGAGTTTCCAGGAGAGAGGATGACCATATTTAGGTTGTGCCTCTCAGGCAACCAAAAATAGGTCTCTCGTATAAATACTATGTTGGAGACTGATTTTGGGCATACTACCTATTTTAGATTTGGATGCCTATATGGGTTCCATATTAGGGACAATCTCATGGGAGCAGAATTGCAGAAATGGGCAACCGCAATGATGGAATTAAGGTGGGTTTGGGTGGAGGGAGACACACATGGACAGGGACACACTGCTCCGCCCACTGCCAATCATGGATCCATCCACCCCTCCCATCATTCGTTCCCTCTCCTCCCATTCCAATCTTGATTTCTTTTTCGCATACGGAAATGGCCCAATCCCGATGAACAATGGCGGACACTTGTCGACCTCCTGGACCTCCTCGGGGCTCGGGCTGCTCCCTCCAACACTGTGCTCACGTGCGCTGTGCATGCAGGTATCGCGCCGCAGACGACGAGCGGCGACGGCGCCGACGGGATGGCGGCGCTGACCGGCGGCAGCGAGAGCGAGCACAAGGAGGTGCGCGCCAGGCTGGCCGCGGCGTACGAGCGCCACATTGCGCCGGCGGTGAAGCTGGACATCTGCGCCCGGGAGACAACGGCGTTGCCGGCGGGCAGCGCCGGCGGGCACGCGTCGTCAGCGCGGCGGCGCGCGTCGTCGAAGTCGTCCTCGGAGACGTGGACGACGGGGTGGTGGACGCAGTTCCTGGTGCTGGTCCAGCGCGGGCTCAAGGAGCGCCGGCACGAGTCGTTCAACAAGCTGCGCGTGTTCCAGGTGCTGAGCGTGGCGACGCTGGCGGGGCTGCTGTGGTGGCGCACCCCGGCGTCGCACCTGCAGGACCGGACAGCGCTCATCTTCTTCTTCTCCGTCTTCTGGGGCTTCTTCCCGCTCTACAACGCCGTGTTCACGTTCCCGCTGGAGCGGCCCATGCTGGTGAAGGAGCGGTCGTCGGGGATGTACCGCCTCTCCTCCTACCTCGCCTCGCGCGCCGCCACGGACCTGCCCATGGAGCTGGGCCTGCCCACGGCGTTCGTGCTCATCCTCTACTGGATGGGCGGGCTGGACCCGCGCCCGGGACCGTTCCTCCTCTCCCTCGCCGTCGTGCTCTACAGCGTGCTGGTGGCGCAGAGCCTCGGGCTCGCCATCGGCGCCGTGCTCATGGACGTCAAGCAGGGGACAACGCTCGCCTCCGTCATCACCATGGTCTTCCTCATCGCCGGTGGGTACTACGTGCAGCACATCCCGCCGTTCGTCGCGTGGCTCAGGTGGCTCAACTACAGCTTCTACTGCTACCGACTCCTGCTCGGGATCCAGTTCCCCAACGGCGGCGGGTACTACGACTGCGACGGACACGGCAAGCTCTGCCCCGTCGCCGAATTCCCGGCCATCAAGGCCGTCGGGCTCAACAACCACTGGGTCGACGTCTGCGTCATGGCGCTGCTGCTCGTCGGATACCGCGCCGTCGCGTACATTGCGCTCGACCGCCTCAAGCCCAGGTGACCGCCATGGCTGTGGCCAAGAGCTGCCCCCCATACATGAACGTGACATGCATCCGACCATGGAGCAGTAGAGTCTGATTATCAGTCAGCTCTAAGACCAAGAGGCATTACTTAACTGGAAGAAGAGTTAGTTAATTTAGGTGATGGCGAGAGGTGATTAGCGCTTATTAATCGGGTGATCAAGAGGAGGATTAATGGTGATGGTTACTGATTAGTGTACGTGGATGATGACGTGGCACGAAATAATCACTAGATTGATCTGTAACGAGAGGAGAAGAGAAGGAAGCACTTAGTTAGTGCTATACTGCTATGTATAATATAATACAACGAGGAGAATGAATACGATACAAACCTGCCGCTAGACTAGATGCAGCTTCTCTACTCTGAACAAACCAGACTGTTACTTCTAATTCAGTAATCTGCTGTGCCATTTCACATAACCATCGAGAAGAGAGTGATATTTTCCTTCATCAGATATTCGGTGTGTTTTCCTTCAGCTCCCAACTTCACACAACCATCGTCAGCTTGTGCTATTCATATCAAGTATGTATGCAGTATGGCAGTATGTATTCCGAAAAAACAATTCGTGTCCAACTGAACTGAACTGAAGCCTGACGAGCTCCGCGTGACACAGACTCTAGTACCCACCACCACCATGCCTTGGAGCTTTCCAACAGTGTTAGGACAGGGCATCAATGGCATGAAGGGACAGTGTAACAGAAACAGATTTTGTTTTGCAAAGGAGAATATCTATCTATCTATGCTTTTGTTCTGTAACAGAAACAGATGCTGCTGCAGCAGTGCTGCACTTCTCAACTCCCAGTGAAACCATGGCATCTCCTTCTTGACATGGCTATACAGATTTTGGGTCGAGCTTCAGAACAGAAGCTTCGAGCTGTGATTGTTCTGTTCCCACATTTTCCTCTCTTCCTACCTGATCTTTGTGTTCTTGTCAGGCACTGAAAGTGAGAGTTGCAGAGAAACAAACTGGTTCATCATCAGAGACTGCAGCGTATCAATGGGCAGATATGACCAGAGATCTGCTTGGTTTCCTCCAACCTCTCACCTTCAGTTGATTGATTGGTTTCTACAAGGAGGGCTACATTTGCACCACTCCTACAGTGTCCTCGTTCAGTCTAGCTTACACTGCTATGCTTTAAACCTCAACTCAGGCACACTCGTGTCTGTTATTTTAGAACTAACATGCTTCTCTTCTCTAAAAAAATATGAAGATTTTCATTCATCCACAAATGTGTAATCCTGCAGACCTTTTTTCTCCTCCTATCAAACATAATGTTTCTGTTATATCGAACTAAATAAAACCAAAGAAAACAGACACCAATAAAACATAATGTCTTTTGTAACCTACCTTATTTTCTTTGTTTCCTTTTATTTCTTAATTTCCTCAGGCTTACAAACTTTTTTCTTATATTTATATATTTAACCAGTAGGGGTTTCCTACCCCTCCTGATTCCTAAAGAGAAAGAGGGAATGAGCTGCCAACCCATTTGCGTGTAAACCATTTATTTTTTATGATGACCCATATATATTAAAACGTTAAAAACATAGTACAAAGTTCAGATATAGAATCCCTAACTGCACTTCCTAGCAACACAACATAGAAATCCTAATTTCCAGGGTTTACCATCCACTTGATGTGTTGAATATGTGGTGGTTTATTTGTAATATTTCGCAACTTAGGGATTCTTTAGTCAGGGGCGGATGTAAGGAATTTACTGATAGAGGAGCAAGTTCTAATAAAATGTAAATTATTAGGAGGGCAAAATCAACATTTTTTGTTGATATATATAACAAAACTTTATGTATATAAGAGAAATTCCCCCTCCCGTTCCCCTATCTTTAGCAAAACATCCAAACCAGCCCAAAGGGGCAGCCATGCGTCCCTTCTCCTAACTTGAGCTCATTTGTTCTTGAGAGGAGAGGTAGGGCTAGCGAAGAGGAGAGTATTTGATCCACCAAATCCGCCACTGAGTGAGTGAGTGTGTGTGCGCGTGTGTGTGAGAGAGAGAGAGAGATTTGTGAGTGATACAGAGCCTTCCCTCGTTTGATGGTTTCCACGTAATGTATTGCTTTATATTACAGTGGATTGCCTATCATCACCTGGGGTTTTCTCTCACAAGAGGTTTTACACATAAATTCTCGTTTATGCTCTTGTTTGATATTCTTCTAGCCATATTGCTTGATTGGTGACTGGATTACTTGCTAATCGTGTCATACTTCAAGTGGTGCTTGAGTATTCGGTTGGCACATGAAGTATACTTGAGTTCTTTTGATATATTGATGATTTGTTGATTGGACCAAAGGATTAACTGGCTAGTTGTTGAAATACCTTGTTTAGAAGTCACATGCAAAATTTAGCTCAAAAGATCAAGAAACAACCCCAAATCACTTTCAGTTTCACATTTTTATGTCGAAAACGAAATCGATACGAACATGTGAAGAACCATGATTGACAAGTCCACAAGAATGTACAAGATGACACGTGATGAGACCACAAGCTAGAACTCGAATACCTAAGGGTCTCCAGGTTTGCCATCTGTCGCTAGGTCGGAACCGCGCCCAAGCATTGTTGTTCGAGTCGGTGTCAGAGTACATGTCTTTGGTGGCTCGGATGGACTTAAGAACAGAAGAATCACGGAGAGAACGCAACGGTTTATCCTGGTTTGGGCCGATCGATGCCCTACGTCAAGCAGCTGATGATCCTTATACTCAATAGCATCTAAAATCGGGGGATTACAACAGAGTGTACAGGAGGTAGAGAGAGATTTGGTAGCAACGATGACTGGTCTGGCGAATGCAGCGCCGAGATAGAATGGCGTAGTGGAGATAAGCTTGGCTTCGAATCTGTTCATGATCTGTGAAAGAGAGGAGAATGGAGACTGGACAAGGGCCGAGAGGCTAGTAAACATTTTTCCAAGCTTCTTTACATGTATCAAAACCAAATTAACACCCCATTATTGTACATGAGCCGAACGGTAACTTTCCTTCATGCATCAAACCAACGCCGTCGAGGTTTAAATCCGACTCCAGAACTTTTTATTTCGTGTGCGAATGCCATCGAGGATTCAGGCAAAAACACACGCACGGGCAGCATCAGGTCAAATAGATCGTAAAACACAAGGGGAGAAAAATACCCAAGGTGGGCCAGACCGCTATGCCGAGTTCGCTGGAGTGGAAACCCGCCACTTACCTGTCGTCCGAGTTGGTCCTCGCCGTGGAGCACGGCGATGGCAGTCGGCTCCGGCAGCACCGGCGACAGTCACACATGCTTTGCTTTGGCTCTAGTCCTCCTTTACATGGTGGTGCTGATGCTGGTCTCTTTTTATCTCCCTCCTGCCTGTTGTCCTTTGAGGATCAAAAGGACTGCGGTTCCAACAAATCCTCCAAGGCTCCAACCAAGCAACAAAGTTTTGGACGAAAAAAATATATAAGTTGTAACGAACTCACACCAACTTTTTTGATTGTTTCCACTGTATTTCTCCCCCAATCTGCCACCTCAATTCCAGAGCTAGTATGGCTCTGCTGGTTCATCCTACATCTAGAATTAATTTATAAATGTATATGATAGAAGAGCTAGTAGTACAGAATTCATCTTTTCTTTGCCGACCTATACTATACATGAGACATGAGGGTGAATTAATAACTGCATGGCGGAGCTAGATAATATAGAGGGCATGGCGGTTAGAAGAACAAGAACTTAGACTTGGAGTTGCATCTGAAGGCGAGCGTGGTGCCGTTGGACCAGAAGAAGGAGCGGATCTGGCATGCCAGACGCGTCCACTGGTTGATGGCGACGAGCCCCACGACCTGCCTACTGGCCTCCCCATTCGAGAAAGTTAAATCTGCCCTTAAGGGCATATGTCCCACGCACTGCGCCGTTGGATTCGCATTGAGATATAAAAATTATTCCTTCTTGCTTCGCTCGTCCCGTCTGGACCTCTGCACTCCACGCAAAGACATACTTCTGCGTGAGGGTATGAAGCAAACAGTTTCCCCGAAATTTGGTTGATGCTCATGCTAACTTGTTGTGAGAAGAAAATAATGGTCCTTCTCGTACTCGCAAGGTACGCATGGAAAGTGGCAGCAGGGTTAAATCGTGCATTGTGAGTAGGTGGTCATAGCGCAAGAGGAGGAGCCGGTGCCGGTATGATAGTGTAAGGCCCGAGTACCCAGCAGATAGCTACGTCCCAATCTCGCCAATACAATGGCACAGTGCAAACAGGGTAGGTTAGTACTCATATCGAAAAAGCATAATATTTATCATGAAAATAGAGTAAAATAATAATTTTTAGCTATGTAATTGAATTTTCTATAGGTATTTAAAAGAAATCACTGTGCTGGGGGTGGGTGGGGGGGGGGCACGGGCCTGCTGGCCCCCTCTGGTTCCGCCGGTGACTGCGGCAGGGAGCGAGCAGCAGCAACAACATCACTTCGATTGCGGATCTCACGCTGTGGGTTGGGCTTGTACAAAGCGCAAAGAGGGAGCAGCAACAGCAAAGACTCGCTCCACGCACCGCACCGAGGCGCTGCCCACTAATTCGGAGTGTCTAGTTTCATGGACTAAACTTTAATGTGTATCACATCAGATGTTTAGATATTAATTTAGAGTATTAAATATAGACTAATTATAAAATTAATTATACAGTTTGAGACTAATTTACGAGACGGATCTATTAAACTTAATTAGTCCGTGATTTGGCAATGTGGTGCTACAGTAAACATGTGCTAACCAAGGATTAATTAGGCTTAATAGATTTATCTCGCTAATTAGTCTACTCATTTGCAATTAGTTTTATAATTAGCTCATATTCCCTTATCCAAACACCAGCTAAGCGCTTAACCTGCCAGTGATATGGACCTTGGCGAGTGGCGACAAAGGCAAGAGGCCCACATGTGACACGCCACAAGGGGAAGGGGACGACAAGACCCAATTTTTTACAATTTTGCCATTTTTTTTTAAAGAAAATTTAAGTTTGGCCT